GATTGGTTTGAACAGAATTTTTGGCACTGATGTTTGGATTTTGAACAGTGAGCAGTTGGCTTGGCAGTTACCTCGATGGCAGGGAACTGCTGAGGCAACTGCTAGTGGAAAACAGGAGTTTGGGAGAGATGATTATATGGCCTTGTACAGAATGATGAGGGCTTATTGAATATGTGCTGAGCTGGAGATAATAAGGAGTTTTGCCTGAGCAAAGGTCTGAGCAGTTGGGTAGATCCAGGAAACTGCTAAGCCGCCTGCTGCGTATGAAAGAAGTATTTATGAGAACTGGCAAACCAGACCTTTTAGTAGTGGTATTCCATAGCTCGTGTGAAACAATTGTCTCAAGGAAAAGTGAGTTATTAAGTAGTAGGATAAGCAGTAGAGTCAATTAAGACAACTGCTTAGGATGCTGCTGTCAAACTACGATCCCTTTAGTGAGAAGTGTTGGGTGTGTGCTCTGTTGAGTAAGAGAAAATCAACACACGATATATCCTGGTTCAGAGGTGGTGTAATCCTCCTACGTCCAGTCCCACCCTCTTTCAGATGGATTTCCACTAAAGTATTAAGGCCCAATACACTTAGTGCCAATCTAGCCTTTACAACACTTAGGCCTAGATTGAAGGTTTTTCACAATGAGTATGACACCACTCAAAGTTACTCAGTCCTTAGACTTTTCTCAGATGATCCAGTGGGGATCAAAAGGTACTCTATCTATCTAACTAAACTTTAGGATCTGAACAACTGTTCTCCTAAGTGTTTACAACAATTTGTGATATGTTTACAAGAAAGTTCTAACCTCCAACTATGAACTAAACTTCTATGATTTATCAATGAATACTTGAAAACTGGAAGTTTAGTGAAGCATGAGTCCAAGCATAGAGTAAAGTTGAGTTCGCACTTTTTCTTTTGCTAGATAGCTCGTATATGCTGTTATGGAAGTATTTCTCTACTTAGGATGCTCAAGCTTGGTTAGAAACTTTCGTTTCAGCCTGTATTTATAGGCTACTTCAGTTGATTAATCTCATCCGTTGGTTAGGATGGATTAATCTTGCGCGTTGAAGGTCTAGCAAGGATGAAATGTACATTCGTCTTCTTGTGCAGGAGCTTTTAATACTTTTCTTTTCTTGTCTTGAATAATTAGGCTGCAGCATGGGTGTGTCTTCAGCCGCTGTAGCTTCACTCCAAAAAGACGTCCCATGCTGAGGGACCTTGATGTCAATTTTGTCTTCAATAATGCATAGGTGATCGAATCTTTAATTTTGTGACTAATTTTTGTGTACAAATAAAATTATACTGGTGGGATTTAAATATCCTTTTTAAGGTAGATAAAGATTACCTTATTGCATTTTATCTTTCTAGCATAATTTTATTAGTCTAAAAAATTGTACATTTATTTTGTCACTTTTGGATAATTTAAAATACTAATACTCGAATTAAAATAGACACAATGTACTAGTGCAAAGTATAGTGGCATCATCAAAATCACACAAAATTGGGTACTAACATACAATGATTTTTATCTTTGAAATAATACTCGTGGCCATTGTTTCTCCTAAACGTTAGACCTCCCTTCTAGGGAACTGATTGAATTAGCAGTAGCTCTTGAATAAGATGAACAAAACATTAGATTCAATTGATTCAATTAGTAGCTCCCTTCTCCTAAAACTTCTCTTTGTTTCTTAAGGTTCAAATTTCACTGGACCACTACTCAACGGTCGCTGCACAAAAGATGATGATTGGCTTCTCTTTCTGGTATGTTTTTTTAAGAAGTTGATGGCTTGCTCGGCGTAATCCAATCAGCTATAACCGTATAAGGTTGCCCGATTCTGTCAGTCTTTTACCCCAAATTTCAATATAGCAAATAGAGACATCAGAGAGAGGACATGGAGTACAAGTAAGAACAAAACTTGATAAGCTGACGATTGGGAGAATGGGTCAGCTTGGTTGACAACCTTGCTATGGATTGAGGAATAAATTATAGCTGAGAAGTGACCAATTGAGGAAGAGGTCTTATGCGAATATGCTATGAACGAAGGATACATTCGGAATGGAAAGTTTGGAAAGTAGCGGCTGAATGTAAACGTTTCTTTGTCTAACGTTTCCTTTCATCCTACTACTTCCACTTCAAGCCCATTTCAGCCCTTCAACCGAACAAGTATACACTAATTAAATTTGATTGAATTTTATATATTTCATCCCTTTTTGAGCTTATGTGGCTTGCCGAACATAACCTAAATATGCTAGAAAATTTAAAGAAAACACTATTCTCAACTGATCTTAAGTATATGAAAGAAGAGATGCCAAAATGAGAAGGAAAACAGATGTATTTATAGGTGTTTGGAGCTAGGGTACTCGATCAAGTACAATATGCAGTCGGATGGTGATGAAATCACATCCAACTCGACCTGGTAAGACTAAACCCGATCGGGTTACATTTCAAATCAGATTTTCCACATTCTCTCGATCTTCAGTATGTTTGATTGTCTGGTGTCCACTCACACCCGATCGGGTTAAGTACAAACCTGACCGGGTTTTGACAGGTAGCTTCCTAGTTGCTTCCTATGTAATTTCCATCCCTACCGAGTTTTCTCCAACCTGGTCGGGTTTTGTACCAACACTTATATTCAAGATTCTCCTTGTCTTCTTTTGGTACCTGAAATACTCCATTACATTCCCTTACAACAAACTTACACATAAGCACAAATTACACACAAGTACTGAAATAAAGGGATTGCATCTCAAAATAAATAAAACTAGTAAAACAACAAACAAACAATAATAAAATAACATATTTATGCACTTAGAAAGCGTGCTTATCAACTTTGTGCATGCATACTCTGGTCTTTATATATGCATATGGAGACATGAAATCCATAAAAAGAATTTAATCGTTATGATGAGAGATGGTATGAATGTGTGTGTTTGTATTATTTAAAGTATTGGTGGCTTAACAAAATTACTGTTGCGCTAGCACCACGAAATTAAATGGTGTGCTGAAAGCACTTATGTAGTTATTCATGCTTTATAATAACCATTGACAACTAATTTTACAACCGTAATTTTAACACGTTTTGGCGAAATGATATTACCTTGGCACTACGAAAAAAGCCTCAGTGGTGTATTTTTTTGGATAAAGAGAAAGTGAGCGACTCTTTAACTCAAATGTGTGTGTTTGAATGATTTTTAGAGCATTGGTGGTTTTGAAAAAAGTACTCTGTAATTAGCAATGCATTGGCACCACTAAATGGTGCGCCTGCACTCATGGCTTCATAGAATGTTTTTACGCGGATTGATTTAATTAAATCCCATACCATATCCGAATAAACCAAACCAAACTTAAATAGACCAAACTAGATCAGACTTCAATAGTTATAAAATATAAGATTATGCCATGATTGGTTGAGCAAAACTTTTAATTTACATAGAGGTTGATCATGATTACAAATGGTACATACACAATGTTTTTTAATTTGAAGAATCTGCCTTGATTACCATGAAAATATATGGCAATTATCTTTCAATGTATTCACATTTATTTTGACCATTTCAAAAAGTAGTGTAGTCATGACTGTGTCGTGTGTGTGAATCCTTGAAAATCACTAACCACTAATTTAATTTCTTCAAATATTATTAATGATATTCAAAGAGGGTTCTCTATAAAAAGAAAAACATTGAATTGGATCTTCAAATTGGGGAATTATGTAATTGAATATATTATTTTACTAAATATAATTTATTTTAGTTTTGAAAAAGTCCATATGCAATTATTGTATTTGGTGGCGATGCATATCTCATCGATTCTTTTAAAGCACTTGACAATACATTGAATAATTGTAAATGCTTCTCTTTGAAAATCTTCTACCTTTTTCAAATTCAAAATATAATTAAGGCTTTATCCAATGAATTTTTACTAAAAGATTACTTTAATACAATTTCTACTATAAGTGTAACTTCATGACCATTATAATCTTGTCTTCCGTGATTTGTCTTGTTAATCATATTAAACTAAATCTAGACTAAGAAGATATAATCTGGCCAGTTATGACTTGATATGTTATATATTAGTCATACACCTATTAGAATATAGTTGTATATGTTATATATACAAGGTTAAATGTAATGAGTCACAATGTTTTCGAAGAAATAAAATCACATACTTGTAGTTACTCCAAAAAGAATTTACATTTACATTTACATTTACATTTACATTTACATTCACATTCACATTCACATTCACATTCACATTCACATTCACATTCACATTCACATTCACATTCACATTCACATTCACATTCACATTCACATTCACATTCACATTCACATTCACATTCACATTCACATTCACATTCACATTCACATTCACATTCACATTCACATTCACATTCATATTCACCTTGACGTTCACGTTCACGTTCACGTTGACATTTACATTTACATTTACATTTACATTTACATTTACATTTACATTTACATTTACATTTACATTTACATTTACATTTACATTTACATTTACATTTACATTTACATTTACATTTACATTTACATTTACATTTACATTTACATTTACATTTACATTTACATTAGATTTGTATTTATATTTACATTAGATTTATATTTATATTTGTATGTGGGGAAGGAAAAAGATATTTGTAGTTTAACTGAAGTAGTAGAGGCGGTGTATTTTAAGTAAATTGAGGCCCTCAAAGTATAAAAAATGTCAAACCTCTAAGTTTCGTCCATATCCATTCAGGTGACTCATCATATATCTATCTTCAACCGAAAGCGGTGTGATTATGCAATGGTTCACGTCAGCCTCTTGCTAGCAAGCTTCATGGCCAAGCTTGTGAAACAAAGCAATTTTAAAATGATCTTTTCCTCCAAATTTAGGAAAGAAACAAATAATGACCGTAACGCCCAACATTATGTTGATGCCTTAATCTATATGTCTACTTCACCAACTTCATCTACAAATCTCAACACTTTCACTCCCATCTTTCCACCGAACAGATCCAATTTATTTCCTTGCTTTATCTGTCTCATAAGAAATGGCTACTCCCATTAGAGAAACTGAAAATTCCCCAATTTCTACAGTCTCTAACCGTCAACTTTGCACCCAGAGGACCCGATCCAATGAGATAACAAATTTGCAAGATCTCGAAGCTGGTGCAACAGTCTGCTGTAGAATCTGTTTAGAAAATGAAGGTAAAGATTGTTATTTAAATTGGAAAAAACTAAAGTTAATCACTATATTCTAAAAAGTTTTGGTAAATGTTGTTTGTTACTAGTGGGTTGCATTGATTGTTAATTTCCGATTTTGAAAGGAAACTTTACAAGTATTGTAGAAGATTTACTTATTTTCTTTACATATATGGTTTATAATCTATTTAAGGTTGAAACATTTTGAAATTGTCTAGCGGGGGTTAACTTAGTGAACTATTTCCATTTATTGCCACCTGCCAGCGTTGTATAAGTTCATTTTTGTTGATTTATCCTTGCAATTGTTGCCCCATCACGTATTTACTTGTTTGTACTAATCTTTATGTTCTGATAACTGTTTCTTTCGTGGAGGTGGAGAACTGATATCTCCTTGCTTATGCAAAGGATCACAACAGTTTGTGCATCGCCATTGTCTTGACCATTGGCGCTCCGTAAAAGTGAGCCACTTCTATTCCTTCAGAAATGTGATTCTATGGAAATGATTTGCTATACATACATGAAGAGAACATTCAAATGCTTTCCATGTATTTGTTTTTGTGTAGGAAGGGTTTGCCTTTTCACATTGCACAACATGCAAGGCACAGTTCGAGTTTTTAGTGGTAGATTTAAGTGATGATATTATAACAAGGATAAAGCACAAACTATTTGTCATCAATGATGTTTTCCGCCAGTTTTTAATTATACAATTTGTAAGTACATTTTTTTTTATCTAATTTAGATTTTGTGCTTTTCCTACTAGAAGTGTACCCAAAATAGAGTAATCCATGAAAAGTTTCTAGGCCTAGTAATTGCATTAGGTTAGTTAAGAAAGATTTTCTTGTCTCAAGTTTTCAATTCTTTCTCAGGTAATTGTATCTCTCGGTTTCTATCTATACATCATGGATAGTGGAAGAAAATTTCACGGGACACTAAATGGTCGTATTAAAGTGTTCCCGGACAATCCTGTACCATTTTATTACAGTTTGGGTAATAACTTTTTATCAGTGTTTCGTTTCCTTGTTCAAGAATAAGCTGCTTTAATGATATATTATGTTTGAACAGGAGCTCTTGGCCTCCTTTTTATATATGGATGTTTCTTGGTCATACCAAGGTGCCTCTCCCTTGGTGGCTCTAACCGGCGCATAGCCACCTGCCAGAATTGTTGTTTGATTTTTTACTTGTTGGAATGCTTTCCTGCTCCAATTATGATTTTATGTTTTGCAATAGTTTGTGTCCTCTTTGGCGTTGCATACGGCCTATTTACTGTGAGCCTTGCTATACAAAGGAGCTGGCATAGACAATACAAACTCCTCACCAAAAGAAACCTTACAAAGGTCACAACTCTAACTTTATTAACTTGACATTAGTTATTTTTTCTTCAATATGGTCATGGTTTACATTATAACTAGAGATATTACCCAAAATGAGACTAAAAAAGTTTGGAAATTCCAAAATAGGACTTCCATATTTTTATTCCCAAAATAAGATTAATTACTGTCATGTTTTGGCAGTACCAGACTTCAAACATGGCAGTATTTTCCAAATTTGGCAGTAATTAGTCCTATTTTGGGAATAAAAATATGACAGTCCTATTTTGGAATTTTCAAACTTTTTTAGTCACATTTCGGAAACTTTCCCTTATAACTAAGATTAAAGTAATGAAAAAAGTGACATTTACTACTTAGTGAACGTTGTTTTATTGTCACAATGACTATACCATGATGGATATTTCATTTAAATTATGGAGTCAACATGAGGATATTTTCAATACTTGATCATAATTGTGCCTGTGATTTTGTTTTTGATAAACTACAGGAGTAACACTTATAATATTATCGATTTTGACTATTGCCTCTCCTAAATGTCACAGGTGTATGTTGTGGTTGATCAGCATGGTCGTTATACTCCGCCAGAGTTGGACCGTTTACATCTAGAACGTCTTAGAGAACTCGATCTGTTGTAGAGAAAAAGGCTTTAATACTAAAGCTTTAAATCTTGTATTTCTGTTAAATAGTGAAAGGTACAACCTTTTAGGGTTTTTGATAGAAAACATTGTAAGGCATGTACATTTGTAGACTCTTTATAATTTGATAAAAATGAAAAGTTTTTGTGTTAGGAAAAGGTCTATAGAAAGTACAGAGTACTAAGACCATTTTCCTTTCCCCCATTTTCTCGTTATAGGTTTTTTGTACCGCTGATGTTGTTGTGTGATGTTTTGGTAAATAATATGTTCTTTTAGATATCTCCATTTCATTGAATTTTCACCTCATTCTATTGTACTCTGTATATGTATTATAACAATGCACCTAATGAAAAAAGATTATGCAATCTGATGTCTATTTTGACATGCATTTGATGCGCGTTGGGATTGGTTTTTATAAGTTTTCCTAGCTTAAATGTGTCACAAAACATGTAATTAGCTCAAGTCATAGTTTATCGGGTTTTTGTTTGCATTTGGTGTTTTTAGAATTAAAATTAGGAAAATGAGCCCAACATCAGCGTTGGAGATTTATTCGGGAGTATTCGAGACACATTTCAGAGTTATTGAGAAGGATTGAAGGTCCAGGAGACATTGAAGGAGTGATTTTGAAGTCAAGGGAGCTCAAGGATCAAGTATAAGATCAAACGGGGATGAATAGAGCTTGGAAACGGCAATCAAGATGACGTTCTGTAAATCTTCTGAGCATATCTTTTCATATAAATATTCAAAAGGCACGATTCAAATTTCATATGAAACATAACTCAATGGGCTACAAATATTATAAACACACCATGACGATAATGTGAGAGAATCAAGGAGAAACGAGACGAGGAAGTCACATAATTGTTGTTTAGATTTCATGATGTGAACTTCAACCGTTTTATTCATATCTTTTAATTGGATGGTCCAATACCAGGTTTGCAAGTTGTGATGATTAGAGGACTTCGTTAGCTATAACTTTGTTGAAAGAAGTATAGTCAAATTCGAATGAGAAATGAGAACGTTGTGCGATGAAGCACGCATGCCACACGCGGAAGAAGAAATCACGTACGGAGAAGTTACTGGAGGCCGCGCATGCCGTGCGCGGCAGTTTTTCACCGTTTTACTTTGGACGCATGGACGCCAAAGTTGTTGAGATAGATTGGGCCCTCGTTCCGAACCATCCATCTCTGGACCCTTGGGTGTACGGAAATATACTCTATCGGTGAGATTTCGATCATTATATGAAATCTAACTTGATTTTTAATAAAATAATTAAATACAAATTAAACAATCAAATGAATATGCCATCCTATTGGAATAGATTGGGATAGGAGGCGTAATATGTATCTTTTAGTTTTTGATGTTATGATTAGGAGATAAGTGAGGTGTAAATTTGTTAAGATATGAAGACTACGTTGAAAAGTACAAACAGTATATCCTTTTTAATGGGCTTTTATTATTTGTAATGTTCAACCAAATTGTTATGTTTGGGAAGACGACTCCTAAATCTTTAATTGAATAAAGTTCTATTTTATAGTTGTAATGTTTAATCGGAATGGTTATAACATGATTAATTGAATGAAATAATGATGTTTGAAATTAGTGACATTTAATTGGAATGATGACTTATATTTTAGCATTGTGGTTCTCTATATTTAATTAGAATAGTTTATATGTTAGAACTTTATAGCAAAATCTGAACACACCAATTTAATGATTGAGTTTAATAGCAATTTAATTTAAGAACAATTTAATCTCAATTGGGATATATCCTACTTTACTTATACTAAACTAGATTTACTATGTCATAGGAATGATGAGACGCGATGTTTAATTCAAATGATGAGAATACAGTTAATCTGTGTTGTGTATGTTGTTTAAAATTAACTCTCATGTCCCATAAAATAGTTCCTGCATTGATTTGAATTGGAGTTTAAGAAAGTGAGAATAAAGTGAAAACGTGTGGTTATGGTTGTGTAAGAAAAAAGTAAATGAATGTAAGTCACAAAAAATTTTCCAAAAGGGGAAATGAGAACTATTTTTTAGGACGACCCAAAAAGGAAACCAGGAACTATTTTGCGAGATGGAGGGAGTAGTATTTAATCTAGATGATGGATACCTTATAATTGAAAGTGTATCCGTATCATGATCAGTTCTATCAAAACATTTAAAATTTAGAACTTATGGATATATATGAAAATGATAGTTTAAATAATTAGATTTAATAGCAATTTAATTACAAAACAATTTCAATTTACAATACTATACTCTATTATTAGTACTAATGTAGATTAGAATTCCTTGAGATGGGATGTTATTGGTGTCTTTGATTGCAGTCTCAAACTAAGGAAGAAAAGGGTGGTTTTGTTTTAAATTTTCAGCTAGGAACTCTTTATTTCCGTATAATCTTTGTGGTTTAATAGAAGATTTCAAACTATGTGATTTGAAACATTAGAAGAATTGGGCATGTATACTTGGGTGAGTACGTTGAATTACTATTACAGGATGGACATAAAAACCGAACTGAATTGGGATTTTTAGGCTCTGGCCACCCCAATAAAATTCTTATTCAACTCGACATTTAGTAACTCTTTACAGCCTAACACTACCTTTATTTTGGTTTCGATTAAAGGGGGAGAACATTTCTATTTTAATGATAACTCGATATGGGGTGCATAGTAAGGGCTTTGCATAAGTTTGATTTATATGGTATCACTGACCACTGATTCTAATCAGGTGATGTATTAATACATCAAACGCAGTTCTTTACAAAACTCCCATTTTATATACTGTTCTTACATTGATATTACATTAGGACGGGGAACGAGAACATCCTTTTAAAAACTAAAAACACAGTTTGATGGAGTTATGCGACTCGGCCCAGAGCGTAATCGGTCCAAGCTTCGAACTTGAACCCGTGAGTCCAAGCCCATGACTTGAGCTAGCAGGCCCAAAGCCCAAGCTTAGGGTCTGCTTACCAACCCCGCCGGGAGCCTGCCAGCCCGGCCGACCTGCCAGTCAGGAAAAGTAACGGTCAAGCAATTAATGCGTTGTTTAATTATGTATTTAATTCCGTATTAATATTGTAATTAATTAGTCATTATTATTGATAACGGTTACAATTTCTAAATGCATATAAAAGGCAGTTGTAATTCAAATGAACGAAGGTCCTGATTCTACACTATTTCTGCGAACTAAACTTCTTTAGCAACTTTCCTTATTCGTGTTACTTTCCTGATTCTTGCTTAAGTGTCTATCGTAGCATTCCTAAAAGTCTACGAGTGTCATATTTTGGACCAACACACTTCCTACATTGTATAGTTTAAAACTAGCAGTTCTTGAAAGATCAATTATATATCAAGATCGAAGTATTCTTTCCAAATCTATTAGTATTGATATGGTATTATCCCATATACTAAATCGGACTGTATTGAACCGCTTGAAACCTCTGATACAATGTCAATTTTAATAATTTACCGTATCATTTTGGTGTGGCCGAATGGGTCGTGCAACAATGGCAACAACTAGGGTGTAAATGAGTCAAGCCACTCGCGAGCTTTTCGTAGATCGCTTGGAAAAAGTTCGTCTCAAGTTCAGTCATTTTAAACTCGACTCGAATAGTTACAATTAAGATCAATTCAAGTCTATTCATTTTAGGCTCGTGGCTCGCAAGCTGGTTCGAGAGCCTTTGTATCATACTCCCTCCGTCGCATAAAACTTGGTCATATTGACTTTTATTAGTCAATGATGACCAAGTTTGACCCTTGATATTTTTTAATATGTAATTATTTCAAATATGAAAATTATATGAAAACGTTCTTTGTCAAAAGTACTTTCATAGAAGTATAAATCTTGTACATTTCACACACATATAATAACTAAAATCATTATCCGAAATTTATTACCATTGACCAAGAAATGTCAATTTGGTCAAATTTTATGGGACGGAGGGAGTATATTATACTAACTCCATCCCGAAAAGAAGTTCACACTTTCCTTTTATGGATGTCCCCAAAAGAAATTTTCATTTCTACAAAAGAAAATCACTTTTAAAACAAAAGTCACAACTACCTTTATTTTTTATCTACTTATTGTTTGATTTGACATAAACTAAGGATATGGTTGGAAAATCAAAATAAAACTCTATCATACATAAATATGCGTGTAGTTCAAATCGGGAACTTCATTTTGGGACGGAGGGAATATATAATAATTATATATATTGGAAATTGTATTCTAAATTAGGACTATTCCATTTTCAGTACTTATCACGCAGTATATTATAATAGTAATAATTACAAAAATAATAACATGTACGTAACCATAATCTGTAATAATTGTAATATGTACCCGTAATAGTTATTGACAGTAAAATAAAGAATAAAAATGTAAGTAAATGAGAGATAAACTAAAAATGAGAATGAATAAATACACATATTATATTTTTAGCTCGAGTTCTAGCATCTTATTTGAGTTCAAACCAGGGACGGACCTACCCTTTGGGGTAAGGGGGCCATGGCCCCTTCCAACTTTCCAATTTTTTTAGTATTTATTTGTTAATTTTTTGTAGGAGTAATTAAATGTTAATATATTTATTAAAAGATTCTCTTTTGAAGTGAAACATAGTACTAATTATGATTGATAGATATATAATCTTAAATTTATCATTTTATAAATTCTAATTATATTAAAACTATTCAATTTATTAGACTTTTAATTTTAAGCTTGAAAAATGTTGGGGGGAAATCGTAGGAAACTATGAATAAATGGGATAGATAAATTTGATCAAATATGATAAATTAACTTTGCCGTGAGATGAATTTTATCTTATATTTCTATTTGTATAGTTAAAGAGTAATATAATTAAGTATGAAAACAAACTTAATAGTATCAATTATATTTAATTCCCTTTGAAATTTGTGTTGCAAAATCAAACAGAAAATCATATCCTAGAAATTATTTTTCTTTCCCTAAACATAATCCACACATGTAGTAAGAGATTGATTTTCAGAAATTAAACATCTACTATAATATATCAAATATTTCAAATTAATTATCAATTTTAATAAAAATATGTTTATGTATT